TATCTATATATATATATCTATATATATCTATATATATATCTATATATATATATAGATATATATATAGATATATATATAGATATATATATATATATATATATCTATATATATATATCTTATCTTATCTTATCTTATCTTTTCACAACGAAACGCTGCAGTCTTTGTACACATGAGAAATTCATCATAATCTACCACCCTGAACTTTGTTCCTTAAATTCAAGAAGTGAACTTTTGTCGAAATGTCGCCTGAAGATCGCATTGAGCGTGAAACTCAGAGTTGTGACTATATTTTAAGTTAACAAATTAAATTATATATCTATATATATATATCTATATATATATCTATATATATATATCTATATATATATATATCTATATATATATATATCTATATATATATCTATAGATAAAGATAAAATAAACCTGGTTTACTTCATAAGATTTATTCACTACAAACTTGTTTCGTATGACAAGCAATGCTTGCCACACTCATCAGGTGAATTTAAATCCACCTGATGAGTGTGGCAAGCATTGCTTGTCATACGAAACAAGTTTGTAGTGAATAAATCTTATGAAGTAAACCAGGTTTATTTTATCTTTATCTATATTAGCTCTATACTTCGGTATATCGAGCACTCTACTCATATATATATATGATTCTAAATACATATTTGGTATATATATATATGTATATATATATATATATATATATATATATATATATATATATATATATATATATATATATATATATATATATATATATATAAAGGAACATGCAGAACAAACTGGACACGAAGTATGCTCTGGGGATGTAGAAATTTTAGAGAGGGGCGTACATAATTATGATAAACGTATATTTCTCGAGTCATTATACTCAACAAAGGAGACAATGGCAGTTAATGAGCGTAGAATTTTCCCGCAAACTTATTTGCCTTTGTTGCATACCTTGTAAATTTGCATACGCTAAGTATTTAAAACTTGTTCAATCAACTTGACATTAGTTAACTCTGAGGAAGGTCGCAGTTAGTGACCGAAAATTCAGTATACTTTTTTACCTTTTTAATTGTATATAATAGATCAGTTGCAACAATAAACGAAAACATATATATATATATATATATATATATATATATATATATATATATATATATATATATATATATATATATATATATATATATATATATATTTAACAATTATACCATGAGCTCGAGTCGTATATGAGCTGATAGCCGACGAGGTGCGTAGCACCGAGTCGGCTATCAGCCATATGTGACGAGAGCGAATGGTATAATTGTTTTATAATATAGTCTGTTAATGCCATTAACTGAAGCAGTAATTAATTATTCACTGTTACAATGTGTTGACAATTTGTTCGGCCAAAAACCGCTTGGCCTTGAAAATTTGAAATACTTTTGTTTTACAATTCGAAGACGAAGTGAAAGAAATGGTTTTAGAACCTCTATATCTCGCAGGAAAGCTCAGATATATTATACAGATGTTTGGTAATATAGTAAGTGCTTGTTGACTGCAAATTCATTTGTCGTTCATTGCAAACTTTTCTGAACAATTTATATTCTGAATGAACATGTTTTTTTCGCTGTTGTTTCGGTATAATTCTTTAAAAAACTTGTATTTAAAGTAATATCTACGTAATAAATTTATTTATTTATTTATTAACTTTACAACCATACATAAAATAGATTAAACCCTACATAATATGGTTGAAGGTATGGTCAACAGGACATGAATAGCCCCATGTGAAGACCAACCTTAATGAAAACAAACTGTAACAAACATAAATCAAAGACGAGAACAAATATACAATTTACAGAAAACATGACGAATTACGAACAACAGCTTAAGTTGAAAGAGCGGCACTTAGAACAGAAGGTTTTCCAAGTGCGCATTCTGTTTACATCGAAAGATGAATGAAGTAGAGAAGAGTAATGAATAGTTAGTCTGTTTTTAAAGGAGGAAACGGATGAACTATTACGAATGGTGGGAGAGAGATTATTCCAGAGAAAGACAATTCGGTTGAAAAAAGAGTTCCTAAAGAGAGAAGTCCTGCAATGATTAACATGAAGCAAGTTGTCCGAACTCGAACGGGTGTGAGACGAGCTGTTTGAAGAAAAAGTGACGAAAGAGGAGATATCTAGGTCAAAGAGACCGTGCTTACATTTAAAAAAGAAGACGAGATCCTTTAGTTCCAGCCAGTAGGATATTGGTAATAGATTAAGCTTCTTAAGGCGTTCAGGATATGGCAACTCATAATCCTGAAGGATAAATTTACTAGCTCGTCTTTGAACACCCTCGATGATCGCAAGATCACGTGACGATCCTTGAGGTGCCCAGATCTCACTACCATATGACAGATGAGATCGGACGAGACCAAGATAAAGAAGCCTACGGCAGCGAATATCAGACATTTGCGTACAATTCCTACGAAGAAAACCAAGCATACGATTGGCTTTTGCAGTGCAGCTGGCGATGTGAGGGGACCACTTTAGGTCATTGCTGATAACAACACCCAAGTCTACTTGGTTAGCTATGCTCTTAACTGGATCGTTGTTAAGAAAGTAGCAATGAGTTGGAGGGTTACGTTTGCGGGATATCCTAAGTAGGAGCGTCTTCGAGACATTAAATTTCATTTTCCAGTTAAGTGACCAGTTGGACATAGCGTCCAGGTCAAGCTGAAGGAGACCACGATCAACTGGTGATCGTATAGCACGATAACACTTGCTGTCATCAGCAAAAAGTGCAACGGTACTATTATTGGTTACCTCGGGAAGGTCATTTACATAAAGAATGAATAAAAGTGGACCTATTACACTACCTTGTGGCACCCCAGAGGTAACATTAAGAAAAGATGAGGAAGCTCCTTCAACGACAACACACTGTTTGCGATCACGAAGGTAATCAGCAAACCAGTTAAGAAGTGGACCTGAGATTCCAAACGATTTAAGTTTGAACAAAAGTTTGCTATGGGACACCGAGTCAAACGCTTTAGCAAAGTCGAGATAAATCAGGTCTGTTTCCTTTCCAGAGTCAAGAGTACGACCAAGGTCGTGAAGTACACTCAAAAGTTGAGTAACACACGACCTTTTACAACGAAAGCCGTGTTGAAGGTCGTACAAGGAGTTTTCAACAAAAGAAGAAACCTGCCTGAAAATTAAACGTTCGAGAACTTTTGAGACTTGAGAGAGTAAGGAAACTGGTCTGTAGTTAGTGACCTCATGAGTGTCACCCTTTTTGGGTATAGGCACGACATTAGCAGCTTTCCATTCAGAAGGAAAAACACCCTGCTGAAGAGATAACTCGAAGAGAGCAGTCAAAGAAGGGGCAATTACCTCAGAACATCGCTTTAGAAGGTAAGCTGGAATACCATTTGGACCAGTAGCCTTAGAGGGTGACAAATTGGACAACAAAGACTGAACATCGGATTCAGATACATTTAATGAGTCAAGAGAGTTAGAAGCTGAACTAGAGGGAGTGTAAAGAGGTGAAGAACTTGTGTCGGAGGTGAAGACTGACGTAAAAAATTGGTTAAAGCCATCCGCTTTTTCCTTTGCAGAAAAAAGTTTCTGACCTTCCAACCATACGAAATGATAGAAACCAGGCTTTATAGACTATTGTTACGAATGCACATTTTCCCGCCAAAACTACCATCCGAGACGACGTGATATTTGCAAAGATTCGTCGTCATAGAAGTCGTAAAAACTTATGATAACAAATATCTTCTTAATATATTGCTAGCCTCTGTTATGTTGTACATTTTTTCCAGTATAATTTCATATTATTTTATTTACTCTCGACTTTTTACTCTCGACTTTTTACTCTCGACTCTCGACTTTTACTTTCGACTCTCAACTTTTACTCTCGACTCTCGACTTTTACTCTCGACTCTCGACTCTCGACTTTTACTCTCGACTCTCGACCTTTACTCTCGACCCTCGACTTTTAGATACACTCGTCTAAATTTAGTTTGCACGAAAGTTGTAAACAACACCATATATTATAAGGATAGACATTCCATATTTGGAAAAACGAACGTTACGGGGCAGATATTCAGGCTCTCAATTCAACTTGAGAGCCTGTTCGCAGGCTAGAAGTCAACATGCATATACGCATATATATTTAGATTTGTTTCACAAATTCGACTCGACGGGAATCGTTTACGAATATTATTTTATATACGACGTTTTGGATCTTAACGCGTGTTATTTGTTAAATAATGTATTCAAACTTGCATATATATTTAGTTTAATAGTATCAACCAAATGGTCCATATACATACATGCATTTATATACATACATACATTATTCAGCTCACCCCTCGTCAGGGCTTTTCGATTCAGTGACCAATTATATTAGGTAATATGCTTATATTTATATTCCTTACTTAGCCCAGGATATTTATCTTTGCAACAATTGTGATATTACTTTCTTAACTATGTTTATCCTAACCCACCCTGTCAAACACGGAGAAAAATAGTTACCTTTATGCTGAAATTTCCCAACTTACTTAGCCTTCTCTTTAGCCTCCTATTTGCTTCCGTTTCATTACATATACAAGAGAATCGTAAAGGGTGAAATGGAAGCCGGAATTTGTCTCAGTTAATTGTTCACTAGGAAAATGGGATTTGGACCACTGGAAAGAGTGGCATTTGCACCAGCAATTTTGCTGCTTGGAATGAGATTTGGGTGGAGTGACTAGCATTCAGGCAAAATTTTAAGGCTTGTTTGTATTAGCCCAGCTAACAGGGAAACTCGCCTGCAGAGTGAGATCTGCATGTCCTTTGGTTACATATGATTTACATATGTAAAATCATATTTGTTTTCAAATGAGAAACGAGCCAGCCTGGTTCACTTTGCGCCAGTGGGAAAAGACTTTCATGCGTATGAAAGCTTTATCCCATCTGACTGGGATGGAAATGTTTTGCCGATTTTGACCTATACAATATACTACTGAACGACATAGCTGGAAAATACAACATTGATAGACCTAAACGGGCTAAACAGACGTTATTAAAGTCGTAATACAAGGTGCATTTTGTTCTAATTACATGCAACAAAGACGTCATGTTTGCATAAATGCCGAGCCTGCACTGAAGTTGGATATTAAGTGGGATAAGAACAGTCATATGAACACAGAAATTCTGATTCATTTCGCTCGGATGTAGGCTGTAATTCGGGTGAGCGTCCCAGCAAACGGGGCTCATATGAACAGGAAGATATCTATCTGTAGCAGTCAGTTCCAACTGTTATATGTAACTCGATGTTCTATGTATGACCATTTTTAGTGTGAAGTTTCTTCGAAACTTCACAGTATTGTGATGAGTGGGGGGAAAATTCAAACGAATCAGTCAGTCAGTCATTCATTCAGTCAGTCATACAGTAAACTTTCCGGGGGGTGTATACGATTTATGTTCGTAGTGATTTATCGTACTTAGTCAGTGCTTTGAAGGTTATTTAGGCAATTTCAGTTGTCTTATTTAAATATTCTTTTATCGTTTTGCCAAGTTCACAAAAATTTCGAGGAATGGTTTTCGTTATTGTAATTTTTTGTAAATTTTATAACATTCGCTTCTCATGTTGTGTAAAGGATATTTACCCCGGAACACCCGATTTTTTCTTTAGCAGCGCAAATGCGCATGCGCTATCAAGCCGTAGATGCGTGACGATATGCTAGGAAGAGCGACAGTGTTGTTTTCAAATGTATAAACATTTCAGACGTAAATATTGAGTAAATCTTTCAGAATCTACGCAATATATAAATTGATGTTATGCATTACGGACATTCAATTAAGTGCCGATATTATTTAGACGGTACATTCATTATACAGAGCTAGGAAGGAGCTAGACAGGACTTTTTTTCAAGTGTATAAACACTTCAGACGTAAATATTGAGTCGAAAATCTTTGAGAAGAAAGCCTCTAGGCATTCAATTGAGTGCCGATATTTAAATATTTTCACGGTATACTTATTTATACAGACGTAGCACGTAGGAAGGTGCGAGACAGTGTTGTTTTCAAATATATAAACATTTCAGACATGAATATTGAGAAAATCTTTGCCGATTCTACGCAATATATAATTGATGTTATGCATTACCAGCATTGGATTAAGTGCCTATCGATATTATTTAGACCGTACGCGAGTATTCATCATTATACATTACTGTATAAGGTGCTACGCAGAATAGATGGCTACACTCAAAACAAAGGGCGAAAAATTGCATCAGATCAATAAAGCGTAAACAACTATTAAACAGAAGCGGGTGTTTGTACGGGTGTTTGTACGAAGAAAATAACTTGCGAGACTAACGTCGCGCTACTCATGTGCCGAACGTATAACGTATTAAAAACAATATAGATAATCAGATGAAATGCCTTTGGTAACTGTGTATTTCGTAGTGTAAGTGTCGTCGATCCTATATAGTCCTTGCAGTGTCTTCTTCGATTTGAAACTTCACACTATCCTTGGATCCCTAGTTAGTTATATTTTCAAATAATATATATTGTTTATTGGTCTGGTGTAGGCTGCAATTATGGCAGCGTACAAATGGCGTTACAAACAATAATACCCTCTAACTCGAATAGTTTCGAAATACAAAAAGATGTTGCATGCATGTTATGAGTTATCCAAGATGGCGAAATAATGGTACAAACAAGCGTTATTTATAGCTAACTTTGTCCATATTGCACTTTATACAGGGTGGTATAATTAATGGCAGTATGATAGCGCTGGAATTAATGGGGAAAGGTTATGGAGGAAATGGTGGCGTCATCGTTAATATGGGTTCAGATACAGGTATACTTCTTTAACCCAGTTTTGTTTCGGTTTCTTTAAGGCGGCTCCCTACAGTTTAAACATATTTATACAGATCAGACTTCATCCTCGTGACTCGCACGCGTACGTGGGATATTCGTGGCGCGGTAAAAATTTTGAAACAAGCGCGGCAAGTTGTTCTTGAGTTTTATCTTCAAGGAAAGCGCCAGTTTTTTATTATAATCCTAAACTTTTCAAAAATCGAACAGTTCGTATGTTGTTAACTAGATCTTAAGGGGCGGTTGACAAATAGATTTCGTCCCGCATCGCGGACGTGGGCCGCGATTGTTTGAACCCCCTACCTCACGCAGACAAGTAAAAAATCCAAAGAGAATCGAAATTATGGTCCAAAATATTATCCGAAATATGACTGTGAGCGGTCTACTATAGACAAGAATACAGTATGTATAAATGCTGACTTTTAACATTACAATCAGCTTGTAATAAATAAAAACTAGTTTCCGTATTGTTAGCAGTTGTAAGCAACATAAAATTTAAATAAATACCCGATTTGTTGTCCACAAATGCAATATTTATATCCCCGATTGAACGAAACTAGAAAGGTTGTGTCGAACTGCGAACTTAGTCAGAAAAGTCAACACAAAATATTTGGCCGCGATCAGTTATTCCAGCGGCAACACATATCAAATCGGAATTAACCGTAGTGGTATGTAAATATCAAACGAAGTATTGTTGTTGAGCTTTATCCGCTTTTTGCCTCCGAACTTTTTGTGAGTATATTATTTAAAATGTACTACATTTTCTTCTGATCTTCGTATTACATTTCTAAACTCAGTTTTCGTCCCAAATATTTTGTAATCGCGGATTCTAATCTTCCCCCCCCCCATCGCGCCCCAAGTCCGCGATGCGGGACGAAATCTATTTGTCGACGGTCCCTAACCTATCTTTCAGTGTGTTTTTACGTTGAGTACTGCATTTACTGAAAATTGTGAGCATTATAGCTCACAATTTTCAACAACAGTGTCGCAGACTGAAATGATATTTTATACTGTCTTCAAGGCACTTCTTAACTGTCACTGGAACTTACGTAAGTCCTGTCATTCAACTCATTTAATTTCACATGTATTGTTTTTATATCTGGTAAATTTAATAAAACTATAGTGCAGACAGTTATGAGTTGTTTTATACGAAAAGTCAAACTCTAGTTGAATGTTTTGACTACAACAAACTACAACAAATTCACTACAACAAACTCATGATTATATTGCCCTGTCTTAAGTGTATTCAATATAAATTTGGGTGAAAACGAAGGCTATACTTAAAATCCGTAAAATTTTAGAGAACTGTACTGAGACACCGTAGGCGGCCTGAACTTGCAAGCCAAGTGGCGATGATAGTACTCTCCTATCGCAAATGTAGGGATGACAAACTTTTAGGCATGCGTATCTTTTAATTCACCATATTTTGATGCAAATTCTATGATTATTATGTACTGTTTAATAAACGAGCAGGAGTGTTTTATTAGGTTTAAGACCTATTAAAACACGTCCTGCGAGTTTATTAAATGCTTCAAACACGACTACAAATTCGATGGATATACTGCCTTATTAGGATTCTTTATATAAAGAATACTAATGAGGACACGACTACAATAGATAATGCCCACTGATCTGAGGCTGGGATTACACTATACCGGATTGATTTTCATACGGGATCAATTTTCACACCGAAGCCAAAATCAAGGGTGTTTACACTATGCCGCTTCGCTCTGTCGCCAGCTCGTATCTTTTATCGTTGCCACGGAAACAAATAATAAGTTTTGACCATTTTGGACGTTTTCTCGACAGTACTTGTGAATTATAACTTTGTTTACAAAGCTTGACGACCCGACGTTGCTTTGTCTCGCTCTTATCGAAAATTGACGAGTATTTCATTAAATTTTGCCCTTTTGAAAGCAAGAAGTCAATGTTATTACCGCTATCTTTATTTGTCTTCGCTAGAAATAATAAATAATTGTAATATTATATATTATTAAATTTGTCACAAATATTTACAATGACACTGATAAACAATATACATAACAAGCTACAAGACAACACACGTGACTGGAATGTGGAACAGGACTTACGTCCCAATTAATACCTCGCCCCATATATACTTCATAGGCACTTTCTCGGTGTGAGAACAAACGAAAGCTTAACACTAATCTGAACTTGATCATTATTTAAATTCTAACTGATTAACGGTTGTTCGTACACCGAGCTAGTGGGTGAACTTTACTGAACTGAACTAAATACTTAGTACTTATATTACAAACATTTTCTTCACAAAACTAAATATTAGCTCCGGTTATTGGGAAGTTTGTATGATTTTGACTTGATACTATATAAGTTATTTAAACGAGTTTTAAACGAACATAAACTACTGGATTTCTTAATTTCAGTTGGTAGGCTGTTCCAAAGTTTTGCTGATCTAATAAAGTAAGAGTTTTGAAAGTATTCCTGATTATGTTTTATAATGAGGTGGAAGTTATTTTCGTCATAGTTGCGAGATTGATAGCTGGGATTGTAAGTGCATAAATATTTGTTTATATCAATTGTTATGAGGTGGTGTTTGGATTTGAACAGCAGTATCAGATCAGAAAGTTCTCTTCGGAATTCCAGTGGTAGGAGATTTGTTTTCTGCAACCGGTCCACGTACGACATGTCAGGATAATTCAAGATAAATTTTGTGGCCCGCCGTTGAACATTCTCGATGAGCAAACAATGCTTAATGGTGTAAGGCGACCACATGCTGCTTGCGTATTCTAGCTTGGGTCTTACCAGCGCACAATACAGAATTCTTCTTGTGTTGGTATTCTTCACTTCTTTACAAATCCTTTTGATGAGACCAAGTGTTTTATTAGCCTTGGATACAATGCTTTCTATGTGTTTCGACCAGGATAGGTTGTTGGATATGAGCACACCAAGGTCCTTGAAGGTCGACACTTGTTCGAGTATGTTCTCATTGATTGAATACTGAGTTCGCGTAGGTGCTCTTTTTCTTGAGAAGTGCATGGTCTTACATTTTGTTGCGTTTAGTTCCATTTGATTATCAGCAGTCCAGTTTGTTATATTGGAAAGATCAAGCTGAAGTAAAGTGGAAGATGTGGGAAACAAAAGTGGTCGGTAAAGCTTTGAATCGTCCGCAAATAACGCAAGTGTAGAATTATTTTCGATGTAGGTTGGAATATCGTTACAGTAAACAAGGAATAGCAAGGGTCCGAGTATAGAACCTTGTGGCACACCTGATGTTACGGGAAGCCATTCGGAGCAAACGCCGTGAAGAACGACTCTTTGTTGTCTGTCTGTGAGGTAGCTTTGGAACCAAGATAATAGAGATCCCCTGATTCCCAAAGTCTCAAGCTTTCGCAAAAGAAGATGATGCGGTACTTTGTCAAATGCCTTTGAAAAGTCCAGGTATATGGCATCAACTTCATTCCCACTTGCGACTGATTCCAGAATTTCATGGTATACTTCAAGCAGCTGTGTGGTTGTGGATTTTCCTCGTATAAAACCATGCTGCATTTGGTAAATGTGTGGCTCGAGATGCTGGTAGGAATGATTGTGAACGCAACGTTCTAGGACTTTCGACAAAGTGCAAAGTAGTGAGATTGGCCTGTAGTTCATTGCCAGCGTTGGATCTTCGCGTTTGAATACGGGTGTAATGTTCGCCATTTTCCATTTAAGAGGTACTACACCAAGATTCAATGACATGTTAAATATCTCACATAACGAAGGTGCAATAACGTCCGCAAGTTCGATCAGCAGTCTGTTCGGAATGTTATCTGGACCACACGCCTTTCGTGAATTTAGTTTGCGAAGAACTCCAACAACTTCAATTTCCGAGAGTTCAATACTGGAAAGCTCGGGCATTGATGACGTTGAGGGTAAGGGAGATTTATTAAATGATTCCGAGCTCTTAGGGTTGAAGACATAATGAAAGAATGTATTTAAAGTATTTGCCATCTCAAATTTGTCCGTTGTAAATGAGTCTTCAGTTTTCAGGAAATTGATGTTCTTTCGGTTTTCCGTTGAGTGTTTTACAGCCGCCCAAAATCGTCGGGGATTCTCATACAAGGACTCTGTAAGCTTGATGTTGTATTGACTCGTACGTATGACTCGTAATCTTTGCGATTTGGAAACAAAGACCGTATCGATAGCTATCATCTGGTAAGTTAAATTTTCTCGACTTTTTATCTTGAGTTGTAAACCAAATCGAGCACAGTCTGTTGGGCAAAATTACCAGTTCTGGACTTATAATTAACGTGGATCCTGAGTCCGTGGGGTTGCGTGATGATTGTTTGACGCTTAGAAACAACAACCAGAGAATGGCGATGATAAATAAAGGTTTTTGAATCGTCGAATGTCTTTCTTTGCGTAGTTTCTGCATGGTGTCCATGTACATAATTGCTAGATTATGACTCTTTATTTGTCAAGTTGAATAAATGTTCCAGACGCACACAAAACAGTTGCTAATATGGGTTTAAAGAATTCCAGAAACGTTCAACTTCCAATCAGTAATGTTAGATTAGCTTTAATTGAATGTTCTAATATTAATTTCAATAATTTGAACGATTCTTCGCCACTGACGTATGTGAAATCACGTGCGCCGTATGCTTGCGGGATTTCTTAACGGTCTCAACTGAATTTCCAAACTGGCAGTCACAAATCGTAGCCACGAAACAAATTTTCGCCTCAAAAATCCAGACAATTCTGTACAAACTTCACAAATCCTTTATGCTTTCCAGGTAGATTTGTCTTTAATATAATATCCAGCAAATATTTATGGCAAATTTCTCAAAGGCAGCGGTAAAATTTTGCCTTTAAACGTGGAGCGCTCAAGCTCGCGCCCTCGCGCAACAGCGCGTCACGTCACTTATTGGCTTCATTAGTACAAACTTTAGGAAATAATTAACGTATGCATGAATATCGAAACCATATCACCTACTCATATACAGATCACGACTTACAGGCACCTTGTTTAACAAGGAAACGTTTATAATGATACTTTTATGAAAAGTAGCTGATGATAACTTATACTAAACAGACGTGTTGTTTTATCTCTTACCGTTGAAAATGAAGCAATCTGATTGGCTTCAGAACCGGCCTATTTTTGTCATCCGCCCCGCTCTGAAGGGCAAACGGCCCGTCCTAGTTTTCACGCCAAAACAATAAATTATTTAATTTAAAAATTCTGCCCAAAAGCTTAGTTAACGATAGCCAGAATACAAAAACGAATTGCATCAAGGTCAAAAGACTTGATACTAAGCAGGATGTGCGCCAGAACTTTATTCTCAGGCTATTGCCTGTGGGCATTTATAGACCGTTACTTGGAAATGGACTTTCTGAATCAGAAAATGTAGTGAGCACTAAGAAAGTAAGGGCACACCAATCCAAATCGCCATTTATCACTTGTTTTGCATTGAGTTGCATTGAGAAATTGATTTACCTTCACGTGTGCATGCTTTCTGCTTGTCATTTTAATATAGTAAAATAATCCGACGTTGGATCGACGGTTAAATGTAAAATAAACATATTAGCTACACTAGCTTTATAATCACTCAAATGGCCAAGTTACTGTAGCTTATATTGTAAACAGTGTAGATGCGACGAATGCAATTTTGGCGCTGGTGTGTATGATATCGATGAAAATTAAAGTCACTAATTCGCCATTGAAGAAGACTGGCATCAAATAGCTTTATCACTCGCATTAAAAATAAAATACTACAGAAGAAGATCTGCAAATTCTATGTTTATTTTGAAAATTTTGTGTTAATTTTGTGAAATCCACTCGTTAATACGTACATCCCTATTTAACTAGAATCTAATGTACTTATATGCCCATTATAATATTTGTAAGTGCGAGTATAAATTGAATATTTGTTTAATTTTTTAATCAGGCTATTTGTGTAACCACTCAAGTTTGATATCCGTAAGCAGCAAGTTCTTTCCCAAACTACAATGGCTCACTGATCTCAAAAGCGAATGGCGGCTATATTATTGTAACCACCGCAATCATGTTGCTGACATGTTAGGAGAGGTTCTTATTTTTTTTTTGAGATTGGTTGGAATAAAAAGATATTGCCTTGAAAGGAATGGGTTATAATGATGTCACATCAATATGGCCACCTTAAGTCTCAATTGTCTCATGTTCAAAATTTTCTAAAACTCATTAGAAGATGTCTGGGAAGCTATATCTTTCAAGTTAGGTACAAGAACAAATTTTCTTCATAGCATAACTAATTTAATCAGTAAGGAACGTGATAGATTTGAAAATCTCTCCTCATTATAGATATTCTGGCTTCAAAATTAATTCCGTAAATTAGAAAGGTTGCTCTATCCATTCCTACTTTTGAGATCAGCGGGCAGGCTAATATTGTGAACGTGAAAGTCTAATATCCAAAGGCAGCAAGTTTCTTCTGCACCCATGGGGTAAACAATGCTGTGTTGGTGTATACTCCATAACGATCTGGTTGTGCGCAACCTACGCCCCAAGACACCAATCCACCAAGGATAAACCTGGAGTTGCTGCGATCAAAACACGTGAGCGGACCACCACTATCTCCTTGACATGCGTCCGTACCTCCTTTCTTATATCCGGCACAAAACATGTTACTCGTAACTTTTCTGGGATTCAGCAAGCTTGCGTACGTCTACAAAATGACATAAAATGTTAGGAAAACTGGAGATAACTGTATCATATTTTGGCAAACTCTACAGTCTTGTGTGTTCACTTTAGTGATAGGCGATATCCACTTTTTTTAATCGATAGGATACCGGTTCGTTATTAATGCATTTTTTTTTCCATTTCGATATCAATACCGATATTCCTGCAATGTAAGCATATAACAATAAGCGAAAGAACAGAATGCACTTTTCCTGTAACTGATTTACCAACGGTAACAGGAAAATGCTATTTATTTAGTCAAAGTTGATGAGATTGAAAAATGTGCCAAATATGGCAAATAACTAATCATTGGTAATATAAAGCCTACAGTAACTAAACTTTCACCACGCTTCGTATTTGTCTGCAGTGTGTGCTTGACCAAAACGAATGAAATGTCGATACTACATGTTCTGGACCTAGGTATCGTATTTTTCAAATACGAGTACTTTCAAGTACCCCTACCAACAAAAATGTTGTTATTATAGGCACTATATCTACACTGGCACAGACCATTCAAGATTATATCGAATATTTGGTATGGATATCCGCCCAAACGCATGTTGGACCGTAATCTTCATTCACGCATTCTTTTCTAATGAAAGTGAAGTAAAACGGTAACTATTCCAACAGTTTCACTTCACGGATAAAAATTATGGCCTCCAGTTGGCAAACAAAGTCAGAGACACAAGTGAAGCAAAATAAAACTGGATTCCAAACATTAGCAACGTTTTTTATGTCACGTCCGCGTCGTAGATTTGTTGTATCTTATAAGCTCACTAACACTCAATAATTAATTAATATTTAATAACACTCCTGTACGTGTTTTACTACTTCAAAAATATGGAGAAAAAACGGAGGGCCATCGTATTTACGAGTTAGTAACATCTTTCAATCGACATTTTAGGACCTTTAGTATAAACCAAATATGCAGTGGTAAGGATTAGAACATTACCTTCACACACGTATTGAAATTTACTATCTTCACATTAGCCTCTAAGAGTCTCGCAGATTTCACGCCATTTTGTGTAACACGTCCAAAGCCTGTGACCGTGCATAAATCATTTTCTGTTAACACTGTCCCGCTTCCCGGCATACAGAGTGGACGCACATTGTCGTTGTACACGGCGTATTTATCCAATCTTATTATGGCAATGTCCTTGTCATATGGCGCATCAACTCCATAGTCCTCATGAACAATTATTTTCGTGCATCTAAATCTTTGCTCGTGTCCAGATTTCGTAGATTGGTCTACTTCCCCGATCACGATATACAACTCATTTGGGAACGACTGCGATACACAGTGGGCAGCGGTAACTACCCACTCGTCATTTATCAGCGTTCCACCACACGTTATATTACAATGGGCGCACTTTTTAATCCCGACTTGCCACGGCCAACTGCCAGCTGCTGCTCTTGTGCCATTTACTACCCCACCGATTCTGCCTTTGGTTCCACACCTTATCTTTTTATTCCCCTGCGGTGGGGGTGGTTTGGTTGTTGTGACAACGGGGGGTGTGTTTGCGGGAAATGGTGGAATGGGGGGCGTGTTTGCAGGGATTGGTGGGGGTACCAGTGCACCTGTTGGTGGAAGAGGTGGCGTTCCTATGTCATCCGTGGGTGGAACTGGCGGCTGAATTGTTGATGGGATAGTTGTGGTTGCAGGTGTATTAGCATTAGTAACTATGGTTGTCGAGGTTTGGGTTGAAATAATTTGTGTAGTCATAGCATCTGTCGTCGTTGTTGCGTTCCCTACAAATATTTATAACCTTTTGTTATATATGATAATATAAGTTGGTTTAATAAGCTCTTTACAGTTAAAGACAACTGAATTAACGACTTATTTACATAATATTATGATAGATCTTCGTTAAAATTTATAATAGCTAAAAAGATTTAAAAGTAAAAGTCTATTCTGTTCTTTTAGTTTTACAAAACATCTTGTAAACCATATAAAACATAAGTATTCTCTATAGTTATAATCAGTCCGCGTATTTTCAGTTCTCAAAGGTTGTATTTCGACTGATGAGAAAGATCGTGACTCAATCTTTAAGACCGTTACGGCCACATGGAAACCAGACTTTAGTCATCTTTGTTTGATTCAGAATCTATGCTTCTGCAAACTAGGAGTTCCTAAAGTTCTCAATGGACCTATTCCCTAATGAACAAAATTTTGATCTAGACAAGAGTAGACAAGTCTATCTTGAAAGGGCATCACGAAATTAGTAATATTCCGAAGTTTCGTTGCGAAATGTTCTAAAATGCGGACAATATAGCTCTTTGAAGTTTGCCGTTTTTCAGTCATTTTGTATTACGCGCGGGAAATTGATACCGCTTTCTGAAAAAAGGTATCAATTTCCCGCGCGTAATACAAAATGACTGAAAAACGGCAAACTTCGCAGGGCTATATTATCCGCATTTTACGACATTTCGC